TGATGCCGAGAGAGGCCTTTCGGGCCCATTGTCTTCCTCGCGACAGAAAGGACCGCGTGTGGGCCGGTAATCCATTAGTATGGTAGGCGCAAAAACATGCACCGCCGCCAGCCACCAGCTGAAACCCGAACCAGCCTGAACCGTTATACGCGGCCTACTTCCTTCGGAACGACCCCGCAACTACAACTATAACTGTAACCGCCCATGCCGGAGGACCTCGATGATGCCTTCAAAAACTTCAGCATTTCGCTGAAGTCACTTCGGTGGGAGAGATTGGTTAACTTCACACGGGCTGATCCTCGACTTGACTTTGGGGGTTGAAGTTGAAGGCTTCAAGTTGAAGGGTTGACAAATTGAACGGTTGAACGGTTGAACGGTTGAACGGTGGATTCTTGTCGTTTGCCTAAAATGTCAATGTCCCCTTTGGGATCTGCCTTTTTAAACGGGGCAAACAAAACCCAAAAAGGTTAAGTGTTTTGTTGGGGTGGTGGGGGGTGGGGGGGGGTGGGGTGGGGGTGGGGGGGGGGGGGGGTGGGGGGGGGGGGGGGGGGGGGGTGGTGGGGGTGGGGTGGGGGGGTGGGGGGGTGGGGGGTGGGTGGGGGGGGGTGGGGGGGGGTGGGGGGGGTGGGTGGGGGGTGGGGGTGGGGGTTGGGGGGGGGGGGGGGGGGGGGTGGGGGGGGGGGGGGCGGATTTCAAGATGCTTGTGTACAGCTCAGAGAGGCGCGTTGCACGTGTTTCCACCCTCAGATAGAGGTACCATTTCTATGATGCGCGCGCGCGCGCGCATCATGAAATTTGCAGTCATGAGTCATGAGTCCTTCCGCAAGCCCTGGCCCGATCCAAGGTACTGGAGCTGGAACCCCACTTGAGAAGATATTGGAACAAGTCTGCGTTCGCCGCTGGCATGAAGCAAAGAGATGCTGATGCTGATGCGGGCAAAACGAATGCCGAGTCGGAGTCTGCTGGCCCAAGGATCGACAAGCTGGATCAGGCAAGTGTCAAATGTGATCAAGTCTTGCGGCCTTGCAGTGTGTTTTCCAAACCATAAGCTGGGGGCCGGGGACGGGGGCAGCTTTATCAAGTTGTCAGGCGCTGATATTCAGTATTAACTAGTATCTTCATTAGTCGGAGTCTGAGTCTCAGTCTTCGTTGTGGTAGAGGGGCGGCCCGGGCTGGGCCGGGCTGGGAGCGAGTATAACGATAGTGGCACTGCAGCACCGTGGGCATGGTGCCGTGGGCACGGCGCCACGCGGTCACAAGTGACGACAGCTTAGGTCATCAAGAATCAGGACTTCTGGCTTTTTTGCAAATGGACTGCGGATATAGGCTATCTTGCGGAGTTCCTCTCACGCTGGAGTGAAGGTTGCGTTTGTCATGAAAAGAGGAACATGCAGTATGTGCAAGCTGGCAATCGAGAACGACGCAGCTTGCCACCGCCATGCGAGTGTGCCCTGAGGGGCCGCAGAAGCTCTGAGCTTGCTGCCGGCGAAGCACTGCTGAAACTGAAGAGCCTTGCCGAGGACACCAAGCCACGTCTTCTGGCGTACTTGGGGGAGGCGTCTTGCCTTGAAGTCTCCACGAAGGTATGTGATGATTGGGAGAGGGCCATCTCATTCATACTTACCGTGAGCATTGCGAAGTTCCACGTGTGGGGAGAATTGCCCTACCTGCTCTGTGCTTTGGGCCACCCTGACCCTGCTACCGCTGCTTGGCAGTGAGCAGTCAAGCCTAAATGCAAGATGGCAAGCGGCAAGCGTAAGGTTCGAGATTGCGCCGCCAAGTGCCTTGCCTTGTATGACGCTCCGGATCAGCAAAAACGGCCTGGATGGCGACACCAGCAGACGCAGCGCTTCCTGAACCCAAAATGGACAGGCAGTGGGGGTCAACGGGCTCGGGGCAGGCAGCAGGCCATAGTTCTTCATGTGTTGATAGCGAGCGAGGCCCTCTCGTTGGTTTTTCGGCTGGCACTCGGGAGCCTGCGCTGCGGCCTGTGGCAGCCTGGCTTGACCCGACTTCTAGGCGTTTTACACTCCAGAGGAGCCGCTTTGCCAGACGTTTTTCATAGAGTTGTGCGTGCGGCGGGCGCTCATAGAATTGGCTGAACATGGTAACATGGCAATGAAAGTCAATGAAAGTGCACGCTGCACTGTGCACCGTGCACTGCTACGATATGGGCTATAGAATCGATGGTTTCTTGGGACGTCGCGTTTGTGTGTCTTGCCAAGGTTGAGAAGCTTGCGCAGGGGATTCTCACGTCAGCCGGGCTGATCGGCAGTAACGATCCATGTGTGCAAGCTTTCTTGGAGCCTGGGCCAGGGTTTTGTGATCATTGCACTCCTTTCTTGAGGTGAAATAATCATGTTTGCTTTCAGAATTCCCGGCCCCGGCCCCCAGCCTCCGGCCCGGCCCGGCCCTCCAAGAATGTTACAGGAATGGTCATCTTCGCTCGCCATGCTTGGCGTTGTGGAGCGCCCGATAGAGGGCTGGCATGCCCGAGTGACGCAGCTGTTGCGAAAGTCGCCGAACTGCGGACTCCCGTACTTGTCCTGCTCCCTTCGCTTCCCTCGTCTTTGCGTTGCCGTGAAGCAGGATCCACTGGCCGGGCCGGACTGTTCTTTCTATGAGTGTTAGGCTATGCTGCTATGCCACCCATTGGGGCCTTGGGCCCTGGGCCATGTCATTTTTATTGTTGGTTCTTACACTTACACCCCACTCACTCACTCAAACTACACCTAACACGACTGCCTCTGCACGCGCCATGTCTTGTTCATTTATGGCCCTGCAGTTTGCAGTGCCCTGCAGTGCCTGCGCGCCGTCGTGGACATCCACGGCCAGTTCGCCAAGGAGAAAGATCTTCGGAATGCAGTGGCGAGGCTTGGCTTGCGAGCTTTCCTCGGGAGCCTGGATATGTGAGGCCAGCGGCCATATCATATGCCTAGTGGCCTTGTGGTCCATAAGTCCATAAATAAGACATATAGGTCATGAGTCATGAGTCATGAGTCACAAGTGCCATAAGGGCCACAAGGGCCACAAGTGCCATAAGTTCCATAAGGAAGCTGCTTGGCCTCGACGCGGACTCGATGACGTCACGGTCCCGCCAAGATCTTCCAAGCCTAGTCTACAGGGACGACGTGGACCTGAAGCATATGAGCAAAGCCCGCTTGAAAGGCGAGTTGGTGCGCCTCTCTACGGAACTTGGAGAGCCCGAGCCATCCCGGCCGCTGCAAGATCAGAAGGTCGACTTCAGGATCGAAATGCTCGTGAAGCATATGGCACAGGTGGGGCGGGCCAGTCAACCCGTCTTGTGACATTGTGAAACAGTGAAATATCGTGTGGCGTGCTGTTTGGCAGCTGGAAAGTTGGCAGGGGCAGCGAGTAGTTAGTAGTGAGTAGCGAATCTTATTCGTAGGTGGCAATTGGCAAATGGTAGATGATGGTAGTAAGTCGAGAGTCGAGTCAGTCAACAGTCACCAGTCACCAGTCCGTCACGTGTCAGTCCGTCAGGTTGCGTTTCGAGGTGACAAGGTTGTCTTTGCCATTCCAAAATCCTCGTTGACAAGCACGGGCGTGGAACAGAGGCAGTTGGTTGAGCTGGTCGACGTGCCCAAGCCCCAGGGCACAGGCCACTTTGCAGCTGTTGTTCGATTTGAATTTGGTGTGCTAGAACTTGGCTAGAACGTAAGACATCACCACATCGCCGGCCCGGCCGCGCCCCTGCTAATCCAAAACTTGAGCGTCAAAACGACCCTCCTCGACTCCTCGGCCTCTGCCCCCAGCCTTGCACTCCGCGATCCTCGGCCTCTGCCCCCAGCCTCGCACTGCCGTGCTGAAACCCAGAAGGATCCAGGCCTGGAACATGTCGTGCTGAACTACCGCTGCTGGCGCTGGAGAAGGCTGAGCAGGCTGGGCGCGCGGCGCCAGAGCCGCTTGCTTTGCAACTGGCAAGTCAGTGCCTGTGGTTCAAAGTAATCACGGGGAACCTCTCGAAGTTTACGCTTCTCGGCGACATGTCAGCGGCGCTGTCTGGCATTGATTTTATCGTTCGCAGCCAACAAGTCGAGACTGCGAAGTGCGATCCGACAAGTGCCTGGCCTACAATCTATATACAGCCTGAAAGCCCTGAAAGCCCTGAAAGCCCTGAAAGCCCTGAAAGCCCTGAAAGCCCTGAAAGCCCTGAAAGCCTGAAGCTTGATGCCTGAAGACTGAAGCCTTCAGTCCGGGCCAAGATCCTCAAGGCCTCAAGCCTCAAGATCCTTAAGTTCTTAAGTTCCGAAAGTTGCCCTTCTCAAGCCCTCAAGCTCCAGTTGACCAAATGGCCAGGCCAAACGTTGTCACGGGTTTGCCTTCGCAGTGTGTCGCAATCCACGACGGGCGCAAGTTCACAGAATGACATCTTTTGCATGGCATGGCGTCTGGCCTGCAAAATGTGAGAGCCAGAGTCGGTGTACAGCATTTCCCGTGTTTTTCTGTTTATTTTAGAAACTTGTGCTTGTTGTGCGCCTGCGCCCGTACATGTACTGATTCTAGCCACAGTCCCTGGCCAAGCGGCCAAGCCTCGACAGCGCCGCAGCACGCACGCTTCCCTGACAGGTTGAACAAAGCGCTGGTTCCGGACAAGGCTTCCAGCACCGCTGTTGACCGTGCGCACGAGCGAAGTGCGGACTTGATCAATGCCTTGGCGAACATTCAGATATGGTCATGTTCTGGCGATGGCTGCAGTGGTCCCATGTACACACTGAGTGATGAAGGGCGACGTTTGCTTGCCAAGGAGGTGAAACCAACAGGTGTGTAGCTCTGTTGCACCCATTCAGCTGGTTCAATCTTCAATGTGTAGTGAGTCGAGTCGTGTGACTCTGTGTGCGACGTGTTTGTCTGACGCTTACTGCCACCGTGACTTGCCTTGTGCATTGTTGATATTGCTGCCTCTTTTTCAGTTGAGTTGTGTTAGTGGGGCTCTCACTCTCGACTCTCGAGTTGATGCGATGCGTTCTTCATGCTGAATGCCTAGGCAATCAGGCGCAGACACAGGCTGCTCGGAATGGCTGAACAATTGCATGAGCATCATCTGCAATTTTGCAGGCAGCGGGTCTTTCAAGAAGACCAAGGCATCCTTTTGGATTGCGTGTGACGAGACAGACGAGCTGCAGAAACATGACTGGCTGCGTGCGGCACCTGCTGAGGGAATGGATTTCTCAGATCAACAACTGGAGCCAGATTTTTTCTATTTGACTGAGAAAGCTGCGTGCCATCTGAAAGTGGTCTTGGAATATTCCCGGCGTGCAAACCTCGGTCACTACACTGCAAGTTTCGATGAACCGGGGAAGCTGTCAGTCTTGGAGCTGATCCATTTTCTTGCTGCCAATGCGTGGGCTGAAGAGGTCTGCCCAGCAGGCAAAATCACGCAGAAGCCTCCCGTGACTGCTCGTGGCCCGTGGGTTTGGTATTCTCAGCCCAAGAAGGCCCCAGCTCGCGCGTATCTTTTGGTCCTTGCCCAGTGCACTAGAATATGGAACACTTGTGCGGAGATCCACCATGGACAAGTGAACAAGCATCCGGGTAAGGATTGCATGTGTTTGGTACTTAGTGCCGAGTGCTGAGTCTGCTGAGTGTGATGAGTGATGAAAGAAAGGGGGAGAGAGAGAGACAGAGATAGAGACAGAGACAGAGACAGAGACAGAGACAGAGGCAGAGACAGAGACAGAGACAGAGAGAGAGAGAGAGAGAGAGAGAGAGAGAGAGAGAGGAGAGAGAGAAGAGAGAGAGAAGAGAGAGAAGAGAGAGAAGAGAGAGAAGAGAGAGAAGAGAGAGAAGAGAGAAAAGAGAGAGAAGAGAGAGAAGAGAGAGAAGAGAGAGAGCAGAGAGAGCAGAGAGAGGCAGAAATAGAGAGTGAAAGACACTTAGTCAGTCAGCGGGTCACCTCAGGTATTACGAAGCTTTGCTCAAAGGACAGTCGCCTCGTCCGAACATGAAGGCGAAGGATTACGCTGTTGGGAGGGTCGGTGAGCCTGCTCGTGTTGCTGGCAACCGAACGCAGCCAGAACGTTGTGGCTTGGCTTGGCTGTCAAGTTAAAACTAGAGTCGATTAGGATGGGGATCAGTGGTGCTGCCAAGTGCTTGGAGTAGACTGTATAGGACTAGGCCAGGCAAACAGGCCAAGTCAAATGTCATGCAGGTTTCTTGGATTTGGGGCCGGGGCTGCCGGGGACGGAAGCTTCTGAGCCTTCTGCGCCGCAGGCCTGTGCTGGGATCGTTGTTGGGTGTTGGTGTTTCGAGTGTCTCAGGGCAAAGTGTGAGCAGCAGCTGCCGCACAGTTGCCAGGCCGCTGTCGCTGCTACAGTTTCTGCAGAGCTTGTCTCAAGCGCAAGTGAGAACGAGGATGAGGATGAGAGTGAGGCAGCTGAGGCTGCGGAGGCCGTGGAGGCAGCGCAGGCCGAGCCCGCAGAGCCACTGACTGAACCCGAACTCGAACCCTCTTCGAGCAGTAAGGCAAAGGCCCCGCGCTCGCCCCAGCCTCCAGCAAAGAAAGCGCGTGTGCAGAATCCAACACCGGCGGCGCCATCGCATCCCCTTGCTTCTGTGGGACAGACACTGTCCGACCGTGAGCATGTTCGCTCTTCCATCTTCTCAGAGTACTTCAGCTGGACAAGCAAGCTTTGGATGCCACATGCTCTGAGGGCATATGGGTCAGTTGTGAAGTTGTGGGTGTGGTGTAGTGTGTTGGTGTACCGTACGGTGCTTGACGGCTTGACGGATCTGTTCCGAGGTCGACTGTGTTCTTGGGCTCGGGCTCCCTCATCTTTGCTTTGGTGAAGAGGGCAGACTTTTGCCAGTTCCATGTGACTTGCCCGCTACATGGGTATACGACAGCAGGGGGCAAAGTGCGCCGCTGTGCGCGGGCGCTTGCTTATCGGAACACGTCAGAAGAGCTCGTGCTCCGGAAACTGCGATATTGGGTGTGGCAAGGCACCGACCCGGGCGACATGTTGTCAAACACTACCATGGCCCACATGGCCCTGCCGTGACTACTAAGACTATGACTAAGACTAATATTCCCTGTGTTTATCCCGTGGCCCGTGACTCCCTGAGGATTCAATGTCGAGATGCCGTCCGGCCCTGCCAACGACCAGAGTCGCGAAGCTGCCCGAAGGAGCCATGTCTTTATGGATCCTTGGCTGCAGTTGGTTGGTCAAACCAAAGTGACATGCTGACATGCGCAGGCCACAGTCACAAGTCTGAGTCTCCTTCCCGACACTAGTGAGCGTAGCAGCGTAGGGTGGCTGCTTGGTGCTTAGAGAGCTGAGTGAATTGAGGTGCTGCCAGATGCTGATTCTCTCCCGTCCTCGCACCAGCTGGATCAGAATATTGTCTTGGCGGTAGCGGCGCGTGAAGTGGAGACAGCGAGCGCGCAACTGGTGGTGAGAGAAGATGACTGACGGCAGGCCCCTTGGCAAAACACGCCATCAAAATGAAGCTTGCCAATGCCATCTCCCCACAAGCCTCCCACTCTGCCTGACACCGAGCCTTAGCCTAAAGCCTAAGCCTGACAGTAAGCCCAAAGCCTAAAGCCAGCTTGCCCCTAGCTCTGCGAGCACCTGTACTTCATGCTTAGTTGTGTGTAGAGAGCTAGTAGAAGGCCGAAAGCCAACACAAAGTTGCTGGTCATTCAGTCTGTTGCTCTAGAGTTATGCTGCATTCTTTAGTTGTTCCTAGACTTGTAGAATGTTGAAAGCCAAGACCAAGTTGCTGGTCCGTTGCCCTAACTTGAGGTTCCTAGTTATCATAAATGATTGCAGCAAATGCGTATGGCTGTAGCAGCCGGAGTAAAATCGTAGTTGAAGTTCAAGCTGCGAGGCGAGTATCAGTATCAGTTTCGTGGCGTCTTGCAAAGTCTGGCATCTTATATGATAGACGTGCGAAACATATTCTTTCCAAGGCAACCTCACCCGTCTCCTGGACAGCAGCAGCTGGGATTCAGCAAGGCACGGCCGGCACTACCGTGGCTCTTTAACCCTACAGCGGCTGCTAACTCCTGCCACAGAAGCTCTACAGACCCTACAGCCCACTACCTGAATACTTAGGAAGCCCTGTAAATACCTGGCCCCGTCTGTAATAAGTCCCTCTAGAACCGCCCTCCCAAGTCTGGACTTGGTGCTCCAGGTTCAGGCAGATTGGATCCTTACTGATGCCTTACACCTTACACTCCAAAGTCTCCAAAGGAGAGCCAAGGCGCCGCCTTTGGGGGGTTGAAGGATTGTGTGGTTTTGCAATCTGTTACACGGGTTTAGGCTGTTTAGGTCTATGGTTGGGGGGGTGTTAGGCTGAGTTAGGCTAGGAGGATGGCTTTAGGGTTTTTAGGGGTTCAATTTCAGAGTTGATTTAAGGTGTGAAGGGTACTGGCACAGGGACACGGCGGTCACAGGGCTTTTTGTAGCATCAGGCATGAGCAATGGCCTTGTGGTTTCCAAGTGCCAGGGGGGGAGGGGTGGGGGGGTTTCAAAGGAAGTGCAAGTGTTATAGTGAAGGTCCCAACCACCCCCCCCCCCCCCCCCCCCCCCCCCCCCCCACCCACCCACCCCCCCGCCCCCCACACACCGCTTCGTTTGCATTTTGCGGAGATGATGACTTGATGACTGGCTAACTTACTATTTAGGGCTATTGGGTTTAGAGAGTGAGATGAGAGATGCTTACTGCTTGCGTTCATGGAAACTTATGCTTACTACTTCTGCGGTCTGCGTTTCGGTTGCTCAAGCTCAGGCAACTCAGTCAAGTTAGGCTGGCTCAGGGTTGCTCGCGGGCGGGGGGGGGGGGGTTGTTGGGGGAGGGGGGGTTTAGAAGTGGTAGTTCGCTATGCAGCTTTTTTGATTGAGACGATTGAGGGCCTTGGTGTGTCGTTGGCTAGGGACGTGCGTTTAGATGTTGTCTGAGATCCGAATCCCGAACTTAAGAAATCACTCGCCCTCCTCCTCTGTATGCGTAGAAACTTAGAAACCCTAAACCCTAAACCCTAAACCCTAAACCCTAAACCCTAAACCCTAAACCCTAAACCCTAAGCCCTAAGCCCTAAGCCCTAAGCCCTAAGCCCTAAGCCCTTATTACTATTACTGCGGCCTGCGGCCAGGGCCAGGCTTCTCCATTGACAGCCATCTCTGGCAACCGCCAGCGCACTGAGAGGCCCAGTCTGGTTCAAGTGGCTTGTTAAATCTACAACACTCATGCCTTACTGCGTTGCTGCGTTCGAAGCACCTGCGCGCTGAGTCTCCACCCTAATTAGAAACCTCGCGTGTGCTTTGACCAACCCACAAAGCCCACATGCACGACCCTAACTCTCGCATGCGCTAACCGCTGCGCAAAAACCTTAGTTACCGCAGAAAAACGCTGAATTACTGATGGGGGTCGGTAATTAAGCTTTGCCAGGCGGCCTGGCCCACAAAACCCTTAATTACCGCACCAAAAGCTTAATTACCGAGGGGGGTCGGTAATTAAGCTTTGCCAGGCGGTCTGGCCCACAAAACCCTTAATTACCGCACCAAAAGCTTAATTACCGAGGGGGGTCGGTAATTAAGCTTTGCCAGGCGGTCTGGCCCACAAAACCCTTAATTACCGCACCAAAAGCTTAATTACCGAGGGGGGTCGGTAATTAAGCTTTGCCAGGCGGTCTGGCCCACAAAACCCTTAATTACCGCACCAAAAGCTTAATTACCGAGGGGGGTCGGTAATTAAGCTTTGCCAGGCGGTCTGGTCCACAAAACCCTTAATTACCGCA